CCTGACCCTCTTGGTCTGGCACTAGACCAAAGCCTTGCCTGATGCCCCACCAACAGTCCCTAGAGTACGACACTCTAAGGTGGAGCTATAAGAGATGAGCCAACATGTGCAGGATTTTTCCTGCAGTACCCAAACACAACCCTCCCCCCCACACACACACACTGGAAGGCACCTCCCAGGCCCTCCTCCCCACCCTAACCTGATTTCTTCATTGATAGCATCCAGCTGCTCCTGCAGCATCATGGCCAGGGTCTGGGCATCTGAGTGACCACCGGGAGAGACAACATCCACAGAGCCCACCAGACCCCCCGGCTCATCTTCATCCACGTCAGAGATCTCAAGGTCACTGTCAAAGGCAGGGGTAGCCGAGGAGGCCAGTACCCCAGGCAGTGGAGATGGCTCCCAGTCCTTAACAAACAAGGAGGTAAAGGAGTAGTAATAAGTCACCCAGATCATTGCAAAACAGGACTCTCCCCAACTCTACTGGGCAGCACTGGCATCTCCTGGGAGCTTGCTAGAAACACAGAATCTCAGGCCATTCTACCAGACTTACTGATTCAAAACCTGCATTCTAACAAGATCCCTCGGTGAACTGTTCGCACATTAAAGTCTAAGAAATACTGCTCTAACTTCTTTAAAAACTAGCTAGAAGAGTGGTTCAGAACAGATTCCAAAGACAGGCTACCTTTGCTTAAATCTTGGCACAACAGAACACTGGTTGTACAAATGTGGTAAAGTTGTTTTAACTTCTCTGTGCCTCAGTTTCTTCATTTGTAAAATAAGGGCAATAATACGTGAGGCACATCATAGATAGTTGTGAGAATAAAATGAGGAAATGCATGTCAAGCCCTCAGCATAGTACCTAGCACAAAGCAAGCACTATATAAAGGCCACCAGTTTCTATTCATACAAACCCACAAAGCATGACGAGATCCAGAGAATAAGAACAGGCCAAGCAGGCCTGACTGTGTCTCCCAGAGTTTCAGCACATTGCAAGATACAATGCAGGTCACTGCAGGTCAACCCTGAGAGGCAGCAGCTTCTCAGAAATCGTCCTACAAACCTCTTCAATGGACAAAGGCCCAGAAGATGAAAGGGCAGAGAACTGGGCCAGGAGAGCCAGGAAAGCAGGGAAGAAAGGAAGGGGTCCAGGGACAAAGAGGTACTCTAACACCCATCCTCCGTGACCCAAGCCCCCTAACTCCCTCTAGGACTCTTTTAGCTTCTGTAGCCTTTAGTCTGAGCTCCAAGGCAACTGCTGTTTTTTTATAGCCAGAAAGAGCAAAAAAGTGAGCGGAGAGAAAAAAAAGTGAGCGGT